AAAAATATGACACGCCCACATATGACAGCCCATCTTGCATATAGCAGGCATTCAGCAAAATGTCTGACTTTTTCCCATCCCTTATAGTTTGGCTCAGATATTTCTCTAGCTGCAAAAAGCCAGTAACAAATTTCTAGGAAAAATGCGCTGAACAAACTTAATTCCACTTTGATTCTTCACAGTATAAATCATGTTCAATGATAGCCACAGCAAATGCAAGATGCTAAAGTTTCACAAGATTAGAAATCATGGCCATGAGAAGAGAGAGTTACTCTGGGATAAGCTCTGCACAGGAGGAAATCTCAGGTCTTTTAGGAGTGGGACAGAGGCGTATTCCCAGAACACAGGAAAACCTCCCTCTGTGGCTTCCATTATCATTTCTACTGCTGAGAGAAAAATGCATAAAATATTAAAATCTGTCCCAGAGCCATTTGGCTAAATGTATAGATGTCTAGAGCCAAAAATACATTCATTGATTTTTAGAATTAGAATCTATTTATATGGTTTTTAAACAGATGTCTCTGGTCACCTTGAAACCCAGGTGCCCGCCTGCTCCAGGCTGGATGCTTTAGGGACACCGGTGTTAGATGCAACAAAAATAGGGTCCTGGAGATGGTGAGATCAGCTAGTTGGGATGGCTGCCCAGCCTCAGCGCCACTCCTGTGTGCTGACACTGGCAGGGGAGTTGAGTTAAGGTTTTGCAGCGCAGAATGTTGGATCCATAAAAGCGTGGAGCCTTCCTGGCAGAGCAGGAAACCTCCCCACAGCAAAAGAGGTGTTTGCAGCTAGACTAAATAGTTCTGCTGCCAGGATCATAGAGAGCAGATAAGCTAATTCAACCACTCAACTAATTCAAGCACAGGGTTTTATTGAGCCTACAAATGACTATGGCTCCTATATCTGGGAGCAACACAGCCAAGAGCCACGTGAATGGTCACTGCCTTTGCATTGCGAGAATGGCCACCTTTGTCCTGTGTTTGCTGTTCTGTGGGATTTGGTCATTTCTTTAGTCATTGATCATTTTTTATTTTGTTTGCAAATGTGAACGTGTGTGATGGGCTAAATGCAAAGACAAACATTTTCTCAGAGATCATTTTCCCCTTGGCATTAGAAATTACAAAAATTTCTGTATTCTAAAGCATTCTACTTCTTAAACGGTTAGTCCATTTGTTTGGCTGAGTTTAGCCAACACCAGATAAAAGGCAATGGGAGTCTAAGGCAGGAGGCAGGAGCCAAGAAGCTGGGATTCAGGGTAGTAGCTTGACTACCATGACGGGTCTGGGAAGAAGCTCTTTGTGAAGGAAAGCAGACAGAAGTAGAATCTGAAACCAGAGAATGGAACAAGGGAATTTCACAGACCTTTACAAAAAGGAGTATTGCAGTTTAAATGTGGAGGAGAAATGAAAGCAAATTGCTATGGGCACCTGCAGGGAGCCTCCCCAGGGTGTGGTTTGGCCTTTGGGAGATGCAGGTGGTAATTAGGACCCACAGAAAATGTTTTAAAGGCAGAGTGCAGTTCCAGCACTGCTGCAGTACATGCAAATTCTGCTTGGGTTCCTTAGGCTGCAGAATCTACAGCCCAGAAAGAATGAGACACTTATATAGGTTGACACTTTTATACAAATACAGTAACAATGATAGGGACACCAAAATTGCCTTGTGACCAAAATGGTCTTCCCCTTTCAGGATGCCATTTCAGAAAGTCTTTGAGTTCTTCAGTGTGTGGTCCTTGAGCTCACAATGAGCTTGTCCAGAAACTCATGGGGTGTGGGGGTCCCCAAATCTGGAGTTAAGATGCTCCCCAGATAAACTATTTGCAATGCCTGCTCTAAACCATTGATCCCTGTCAGAAGCAAAGTCTGCACTGGAGGGAAGTGCAACCTACACTGCCTTGAAAATGTCCCGCTTGCTGAAACTCATCTTTCCTTTGGGTTCAAACATAGAGCACCCATTTAGATGGAAGTAAAAAACACACCACACCGGAGATGTCAGCGTGATGCATCCCAGGAGGGATTGGTCAGGAGAATTAGGAACAAGTTAATCAGAGTTTCACCATTTACTTATGTGACCTGTTTCAGCTCCCTCGGTTTTTTTGTGGTTTTTAATCTACAAAATTGGATTATTAATACCTGCAGTGGCTTCCCTATATAAATCATAAGATAGGGCATGAAGACTACCTCCTGAAATATTAAGTGCTAAGCATATTAAAAGTCACCTGAAGACCAAAGCAAATAAAATTAGAACAGTAAGACGACCCCAGGCTCACATGAGATCTTCCACGAAGCATGGCCTGAGAGTGCAGACTCACCAGGCAGGAGTGTGGATAAACAGGCGGAGGAAAAGGGTCAAGGAGTCTACAATGACTGCACTGCTTTGGCCCCTGGCTGGGCAAGGCATCCTCAGCTGAGGGTGGGCAACTGGGAGACACTCAGGGTCCAGGCTGCCACTGGCCCATTATGCAGCAAGATTTAAAAAAAAATGAATGTTTAAAATTTTTAAAAATTTTATTACAGTAAAAATCATGTCACCAGTAATTCCCCACAAAATACTTTCATTTTACCATTTCCCAAAGTAGTTAGGGAAGTTTTGCTGATTTTTTTTTTTTTGCATGTCTTTATGAGATGTGATCAAAAACACAATGAGTTTTTTTTTAATGCAAAAAAGTCACTGAATACTTTGATCACCCCTCTACTCCCTGAGTGAGCTATACATAGGTGCTCCTTTCTCAAAACCGTTAAATCACTGGTCACAAAACTGTTCCAATATAACTGCTTGTTAAAATAAGGTATTTCCTGTCATATGCCTGAAAAAAATTGTTCCTATGCAAATGGCCAGCCCCATGGTTGTTAGTACACAGGACCACACTGTAGTGCTATGCTGACCTCCAAAATGGACCATCACCTTCCCATACCCCCACATCAGGAGTTCTTTATGTCTATATTCAAAATATCAGAAGAGAGTCTTTTTTAAGCATCCATGTCAAGGTTGAACATTTTTGTTTCTGTGCTTCAAACTATGCTCTTCTTCATCCTAAATTAGGAAACATCGTTAAAGATCTTTGACTTCCTGGAGGAATTTCACATACTCATTTCAGGCGGGTAAGAAGCCAAGACCGATCCATCCGTACATACATTTGTACATACATACATGGCATGGTACCCAAGGTCACAGGTTTATTCTTTCCATGATTCTGGTCACAAACCTAACTGCATGAGAACCGAATCTAATTTCCCCATAAAATCAACATTGACCCTCACCACTGAATTTGATCTATCTATCATCTATCGATCTAATCTCTCTTTATTTACTTATTTGTGCATTGTTCTGTTAAAAACTGAACAGCCGTTTATATTTGGAGACCAAACAAGTTCGAATTTATTTCAGCAGGGCCCATTTTTCTAGCCAAGTATCATGGATTAAAAACTGAATTTAAGGAAGGAAAAAGCTGTTAAGCTAATCAAATCTAGTTGTTTTTTATTTTTTTCTTCCCCTCTGGCAGACCCTTTTTTTTGGATCACTGCCCTTTCATAATAATCACTAGTAATAGTTATCTTTAAAGGATTCCTGGCCTGGTACTCAGCTGAACGCTCTGAGCATACTATCCCATTCCATCCTTTCAGCCACCTTTTTAGATCAATACTGTTAGCTCATTTTACACAGGCGAAAGCTGATGCTTGATGAAGCAGTGTCTTTTGGCCTGAAGTAAACAGACAGTAGGTTGAGCAGGCAAGGTTCCGACCCACTCTCTCAGAACCTGTAGCTGCTTGCTCCTTAAGGCATGTGTCAGTCTGCTCCACACTGGATACAATTAGGGAGGAGTAATCAATCTTTTGGGCTGTTTCTAAGCCCTGGCAGACTACCTTTCTAAATTTTAAGTGCTTAGTTTAGCACTGCAGGAGGTACCGTTGGAGCCAAAATCCTGGCTGGTCTTAATTTGTGTATCAAAGTGTGTCACATCCTGAACATTGTGTGTCCTTGGAGTAGGGCAGATCTGGCAGTGTCACTTCTGCATACAAATGAGAACCAAGTAGTATTAAGAAAATATGCAAATTATAATTTTAAAATCCAGGAGAACATTTTAAAGGTAAAACAGTCCACTCCTTTTTTGCAAAATAACTACATAAAATGTCCTGTAATTCATTTATTTAAAAACTGACCCATGTCACATGTCACTGTTGCTAAATTTTCTATAATGCTCTCTTAAGTGGCTAGAAGAACTAATTTCTTCGATTAACCCACGTAAAGGATATGAGACTAATGTAACATTTTGTTTTCTCTTTGTCTAATTTGGTAGTAACTGTTCTCTCACAAGACTGTAAAAATGAAATCAGGAAGTGTATGAGATATCAGATTAATAACGACCACTTCTCAGTCAGTGAGATAAAGAAGGGAAAGCCCTAGCATTTCGTTTTTTGATTTGTTTGCTTTTTTGTACAAAAATGAACATTAAGGAAATCCCCAAGGCTCCTAAATCCCAAGAATTTAAAAACTTCAAGGACAGGGCCAAGCCCTGACATCACAGACCTGCCTGTAGTCACAATGCTGCTGAATCACCTGTGCGAAGGTGCCTCCAAAATGATGAACTCTTGGTTAGAGTGCAGTCACAATTCCTCACTACTTTGGCTTTCTATGGAAAAAAAAAAAAGAGAGAGAGAGAAAAAAAAGTCCTCCACAGTTCCATTTCAAAAATAAAATCAACAAAAAAACAAGGCTGGAAAATCAAGCCTCATGGATTCAGGTATTTATTCCATGGACTACTATTTAGAGCACATTTAAATTTCTCATACTTTGCTACCTTACTTATATTTTTACTACTTTATATATGAACAAATTAATCAGTCCCAAGGAAAATCCTCAGATGGCTTAGACGTGGTAGGTTAGGATTTCATGTTAGGATTATTTGATCTCAACCAGGTTCCTAAATGTCTTACGGCGATACCTGTGAGGATATGCTCTACTAGCTGACCACAGTGATGTGGCCTCCAGGGAGAATCCTGGTGGGGCTGGAGGAAAGAGGGCACCTGCGAAACAAACCAGAAGCATCCCTTTAAGCTTTGTGCATGCACAGAACTTACCCTCCATTGGAAAGGAAATGCCACCAAAGCAAAAATATGTTTACCTCGGTTCCTGGTCTGATTCTCCATTCTGGTTGCCTAGATACAGATGTAAACAAAAGTGCCTCTCCAACTGCTGAACAACAGCCAGAGGAACCTGATGGCCCCCTTCCTGGTGCAGGCGGTGACCAAGAAAAGAAAGCAAGTACCTTTAGATAGTCTTATGAAAAGTAGCATTCAGTGTTTTTCTCAGTTTCCTTAGACAGCTTTAAGAGTCCTGGGGAAATGATTTTGCTTTTCAGTCTTCCTATGTTTCCTGTTTATTCTGCCCTGACACACCAACTGATGCCAGCATAGGCTGAAAGGAAAAAGGATCTCAATTTGTAAAGACCTTAATTTGACTAATTTTAATATATAGGACTACATTTTTTTCATTCAACAATAATTTCTTTTTTATGAAGCCTCAAAAGGATACCATGACACACTCAAGGTCTAGACTATATTTAATGAGAAAAAGTATAGTTAAATAGAATGTTTGCTTTACTCATACTTGTGATATTTCCTCTGTTAATTAAAAAGCACATTCAAGCAAGCGGCGTGTTTAGTCTTTGGTGATTCTTAATCACACCTGACCCATGGTTGCAGGGTTTTTTATGGAAAAAAGCCCCAGAAAGCTAGCAGGCTACCAAGCTAGCTTTTGGGGTAACTGTTGGGGTAACTGTTGACAGTCTCTGGCACTCTCTGTGTGACTTCAGGCAACTGCTTAGCCTCTATTTTCTTTTATCTTTTACAAGAATGGGCTGATAAGATCTATCACACAAGTCGCTGAGAGGTTGGAGACAGCAGCTCAGGTGAAGTGCTTAGCAGGTAGAAAGGGCTCAGTCAACAACTACTGATGACTATTACCATCTCCTGATCTCAGCCAAGTGTACTACACCCCTGTTCTTCAAGTTCTTTACCGATAAAAATAATCAAATTATCTCAGTAATAAGAGTTTCAGTTATTCAAAGTAACTAATATCAACCATAATGTAAAAATAATGACACCAGTCTTCCACAGCTCTTGGGAGAATGAGACCATATTACACTCGAGACAGAACTGTATAGCATAAAGGCATATGGGGCTAGGGTGCAGCTCAGTGGAAAAGTACTTGCCTACTATGTGTGACACCCGGAGTTTGATCCCCAGGACCATGAACTTAAACTGTCTTAAAAGTATTCTTATAAAAAGATGAAAATTGATATGTGTTTAAAAAAACCATAATAACCACCAAATAGTTTTACTAGAAAATAATTTTTATATTTTATATTTTTTTATTTTAAAAAGCCAAACAGAGAAAAGGATAGAAATGACACAGAATTTCAAAAAAACAGTAGGAAATTAAACACTAATTAATATAGTACATATTGTTATCTTAAAAGTAATTGTGTAGGTTACAAGATCTAGGCATAAAAAATGATCAATCAAAAAAAATTTTTATATATAACCACACCACATCCTGCAAAAATGGGATGAAAAGGCATGTGATTTTTATTTGCTAGCCTTAATGTATCTTAGACACATGCAAAGGAATTTTAAAACAAAAAAATTCCACAATGGTCATGACTTTGCTCAGTGTAGTTAGAATTATGAATGAGATTTTTTTCCTATAACATTTTAATTCTCTATACTTTTCCGAATTTTTCTCCATCATCATATTTAACATTTGTCAGTTTTAAAGTGTGGGTATTGAGTGTGTTTTTAAGATGATGCTGTTTGTAATCTTCCAAATAAGACTTCTAAATGCATGCTAATAAAACATATTATTATTAATAATAATTAGGATATATGTTAGTATATATGTTATACACCAAGAGAAAGAAAGACAAAAGCCCAGTAATTCATTGACCTTGGACACAATTTACCACAGTCTTTCATTACAAAATACAGAGGGCTACTGAGTGCCAAATATACAAGGCAAAAAACCAATGTTACCAAAGACATTACCCCAACTAGACTCTCACTGGCCTGGAGGTCACAGTGAAGAGATGGGAAACAGAATTAGAATTAAACAGGTGAGGAGCCCAGAGCCCAGGACTGTCCCAGCAGGAAACAGGAATGAGAAAGCCAGCGCCAGAACAGAACAGTGAGCTCCTTGATGGATTAAAGATGGTACCCAGAGCGCACACACCCACCTGACCACTGGCCCAACAAAGCCATTCCCTAAGGGAAAGCTGGGGGTGGGAGGCAATCCAGCCTCTTGACAATCTATTCAGCAACGGGGAGGGGACAAAGCACTATCTCCACCGTTCACTGATTCCATCCTAATCAGCTTCCAAACTATTGTTCTTGCCTGCTATCAAGTAGGCTGGGTAAATTCTTTCTTGATAAGCAACTTACCAGCTTAAGGTGTTCATTTGTCTTTGAAGAGGGAGATTTCCAGCTAAGATGCTTTGCTTTAAATTAAATGGTAGTTCCAATGACTTTGCAAAAGGATTGGTTTCCATTTAGAGAAGGGTTTTAATATATTCTGCCCATCATAATAGCATACCTTAGCAAACAAAAAATATGCTAAGAATATATTCTAGTTTTTTTAACTGAGATGAAACACTGCTCTCTCTCTTAAATTTATTCAAATATAGTCTCTTAAAATTAGGATAAATCTGTGTTTTATTTTTTATATTCTAAAATAATACAACAATCGATTTTAGACATTTTCAACATATGCAAAAGTAAATACATTTGCTATTCTCTTTCCTCACAGAAATTTTGTCAAATTTTCAAACTGCACATAAATAGAACACTCTAAGAAATATAGAGAATATTCTACAAGTATCATTTTACTGGGTTAGAGATTGTCAACTATTCATATGACTGTTTAATACCAATAAGTTATAACATACTAATATGTTATTTCTCTTTGGCTATAGTAATCTGACAGCCAAGTTTTTTAGAAAATAAAACTACTTGGATAGATTGGTTTTCCACTTTTAGACTTACTTATTGAAAATCAGCTGAATCCCCTGAGAAATCAGCATGTTGGGAGTAATTCATTCCCATTAGAACTTCCTTTAAAATTCAGTCAATAAACACTGCATATTTCCTTTAGGAATTATCCAGGAATAATCTATGGCTTTGACTTTTCCAATAAGTATTTTCTGTGATACCAAAGCTATGAAGTGCAACTCTCTAGTATCTTCCCAGGACTTCATTTGGGTTTAGTCACTAACAGTACAAATGGAGCTTGTACGAGATTAAATGGGCTGGTGGTCTCCATATAGGGCATATATTTTGCTTCAAATCAAAACATTTACTTATGCATAAAAATGATAAGAGTAACCTGTAAAGTAGCAGATGATAAATAAGTTTTAAATGTGACCTTTATTTTAGGTAAGATTATCTCCAGCCGAAATGTCAACCAAGAACTCTACAGATCTAGTTGAATACGTTGACAAGTAAGTCTATAAATTGCTAGTTTTAACTGCTTACCGCACTCAAGGACTGGGTCAGAGATTAAACTGACCTCTGTGTTTATCTTAACTAGTTCTCTCTCTGCTTTTAGAAGACCCTAAACCATTTCAGAAAAATCAGACTCTCCATCCAGTTCCTTTCTGACAAGCAAAGCGAGTAGATTTTACGGTTTCTTTTTCAATGACTTCTGTACATACATTAGATATGTGTATCAAATAATACAACACAAACAGTAAGTGACATTGTATCAAATATACCTCATTATGACTTTCAAAATAAACCAAATAGATCTGTTTACATTTTGTGAAAAATCTAGGAACATTTTATATATGTCAAGTCAATCACTGGAAAATTATGTCTCTCCCATTTACAGTGCCACACAAGAGCTCATCCAGGAAGGAAGTTAAATAAAGCAGATCATGCAGGTTTATTTACACATTTGTTCATCAAGGAGCAGATATCTACTGATTTTATAATGTGCTCAATGTCCAGTTAAGCTTAATTGAGCAGAAAAACAGCCAAGTCTGGTTTCTTGTTTTCTTGGGCGGGGGTGAGGGGGGTGGGGGGGTGGGGGGGGTTCCTTCTGCCTGTGGAAGGCAGAAATGAAAACACCTCAGGTCTATTCTTTAATCTGCCTCCAATCAGCTACTCAACTTTGAGAAGAAAAAAAATTCTCTCTTCTCTGGGCAATCTCTTCCTCCTCTACAAAATGTGGTGGGAGTTCCAAGAGATCAGTGATGAGTACTCAACTCTCACTGAAATTTCTCATCACTGTTCTTCTATATAATTAAGTAGGTGGTTAAAATTTAAGAACATTATTCTCTCCTGGGATTTAATTTTAAATGAAAAAAACTCTGCTCATAAATCTCTTTGTATACTTCTTGAATTGATGTTCTTGAGAAAAAAAATTTTCTCAGCATGGGATCAAATGTTTTCTAAGGTTCTTTCTATCCCTAACATTCAAAACCTGGTTATTATAATTTAGTAACTTAATGCTTATCTCATTAAATGTGCCTACTAAACACCTGGTACTGTGCTACACACTTGAAGAATTACCAACAAATAAACAAGACAAAGATTCTCACCTCACAGAGCTTCCATTTTAGCAAAAGAAAGTCACAGGCATTGCTAAATAAGCTGGTCATGGTCAGTCCCCTCCAGAAGTTGACATTTGAGCCAAGATAAAACAGGAGGGATCTGGGCACATGCACATCTTGGAGAAGAGCAAAGTTTCTAAGGGAAGAATGAAATGGGGCAAAGACTGCTGGGTAAAAAGATGCAAATAAACTCAGACTATAATAGTATCTAAGATTTTGTTTGAAAGTCTATGAGTGAAGTAAGTGGAGAATTTCTTCGGTCCATGGGAAAACTTCTAAAGCTGCTAAACAAAAAGGAAGCTAGGAAATGAAATTATTTAGTACTGAGCAGTTGTTCAGGGTGAACCGTAGCCAATCTCAGTAATTGTCTCAGGCATACATTTTTGGTAGATGAGGATCTATTTGACAGACAAAGAATAGTATTTAAAATGTGGAGACACACAACCTTTAGTCAGATGGGCAAAATAATAAATGATTAACGATTTCTTCTTGTGAGTAGACTAATGACATTCAGGATCTAAAAATATTCAGTTTCAACATGTTTCTTAGGACGACAGCAGACATCTTATTTGGTCATGAGGCATTGCTTTTGTTACTGCCTGATAAAGATGGATTATGTAACACTACCATGTGTAAGGAAGGAAGACAAAACACTGTCGTGAGGCTTTCCATGAGTAGGTCATGCTACAATGAATGGTGTTGCCATCGGTCACGGCAAAATCTTACTCCGTCTCGCCTTCTCACGTCAGCCCTGCCTGGGAGGGGCAAGGCTCTGTGAGTGGGCACAGTCACGGAATCTGGGCATCAGCCTCTAAAACCCACCAAGGCAAAGGCTGCCCAGATGAGCTCCATTCCTCCTGTCCCTGGAGTCTGTCAATTACTGCCAGATCAGTCTGGTAAAAAGAGCACCTCCAACTTCAAAGCCTTGTGAGGGCAGACGTGAGCGGATCAGGGAAGGGTGACTTGTTCATGAATTACATGATGCTGGAAGCGAGCCACACAGAGGACAAATATACCTTATACCCCTTAGGAAAGTGCACTGTAAGGGGAGGAGCCGCTAATTAACCTAAACAAAGGTGTGGGGTAGGAGAAAGAGAAGAATGTTAAAATGGTACTCAGCAGATTTACTGATGCCTGAAGCCTAAAGCCTCAGGCTCCTCCTTGAACTAAAAAGAAATTTACTTAGGTAGTTGCAGAAATGAAATGACATGTTTTTGAAAGTAGTACAATAACAGTATAAGCACTCTCTAGAAATAGGATACTGTTTCTTTTATTTTATGAAAAAATAAAAATTTCATAAGAAAATAAAAAGTTAATACTATGTACAATAATCCTAATAGTAGTTACTCAGAGTAGAAGACATAGACAAAAAAACTCTCATACGAAGAAGAATCAAACAGATAATAGCACAAAAGTTTCTTTTCAATGAACCAAGAAAAACTGATAACATGATTGAAACAAATGAGCATATATGTTAAAATATTTTGAAACAGTAGAGAAGGCAATTTGGGAATTATTTGAACTTATCCCTGCTTTGCACTGATTTATCTTCTAAGATGCAGCTTGAGAACGTAATGCTAAGTGAAATAGGCAGCCACACAAACTTAATTATCATAGTTTCCCTTACATGAGAAACTCAAAATATATATGCAAACAAAGATCAAAATAGAAGAAATAAGATACTATTACTGTTTAAAATTCTTTAATTCCTCTTGAATCAAATAACTTAGTGTTTGTATTAATTTCCCAGGCTTTGACAGCACAGTACCACAGCTGCATGGCTTAGAATCACCTAAATTCCTATTTTCTCCCAGTTCCGGAGATGTCAGCAGGATTTGGTTCCTTCTGAGAGCAAGTCTAGCCATGCACTTTCTTGGCTATAGATGCATTGCTCCAGTCTGTCCTTATATTTTTTTCATTTTCCTGGTGCCAATGTCTTCCTATGAGCATATCAGTCCTAGTAGATAAATGGCCTGCCCTACTCCCGTGGGAACCTCACCTAAACTAATCACATCTGCAGTGACCCTATTTCAAAGAAGATCCAGTTATCAGACACTGGATCTTAAAGCTTCAACATATCTTGGGGCGGAGAGGACTATTTAGTCCTTAACACCATTTTAAAATTTCTAATGTTCTTGCTCTTTAGTTATATTTTGGGTTTCTCATATAAGGGAGCCATGCAATACTTAAATTTATTTCGGTTAATATCACAGTTTAATGGTGCATCCATTTTCTTACAAATGATTCAAAGTTATTTATGGCAGAATAGTTCTCCATGAATGTAATCACTATGCATTACAAATATGTACTAATAAAAATAAAAACTAAGAAAAAAGCAACTCTGACTGGCCCAGCACCAGATAGTCCCAGCCCCATGAGACCTTCCTCCCAGCCTCACACCAAAGTCCAAACCCCACACTGAGCTCTAGTTCTGATGTCTGCTTGGACCCTGATCCTAGACTGAGCTCTGAGCTACTCTGGGACCTGTATACCATCATATACCAGCCAGAGCTGCCCTGGGCCTTGGCTTTGGATTTCCAGTCTGGATCTGAGAATCTCAAGTGGAGTCCCCTCTTCCTCAGTCTCTGGGTGAAAGTGGCCTGGCTTCCTGGACCAGGGCTCTGAGCTCTCTTCCTTCACTGAAAGGATGCTGGGCAGAAATACTGGAAAAATGTGGTGAAGACAAACCATTAAAAATAAAAAACAAAAAAATGACTAGTAATTACAAGAGCCCAGCAGAGGCTTTTCTCCCGAGGTTAGGAACTCCATCTGGACTGGTCTGGGATCTCAGTTAATTCTTCCCTTGCATGGTTAAATTTAGATAGCGATCATCCCAATAGTACAACATGCCAAGGAAGTACTGGGTGGTTGGTTGCTGTATTTATAGAATCAGGGTGGCCACTCAGGCTCCCCTGTGAAATGCCTCAGGGTGCACTTGTTGGGTAACCTAAAGAATTGAAAAGGACTCTCTCTCAGAAAATTAGGAAAATTCATGTGTGTGTGTTCCCACTTGTTGTCTTAGGATCAATGGAAAATCATAGTCTCTTTCCTCAAAACAATAGAAATAGGGGAAAAATATGAGGAAGCCTCATGTTTGTCTTGTGGGAATGTGGTAAATAAAACTAGACATCACCATTTTGTGCTTCATTGAGATTTAAAAGTAATCATGATAATTATACTCCAATTAACAGAAACTCTTAGGTATGAAAAAGAAATCTCACAAGTGAAAACTCTTCATTTAAATGTAACTTTTTAAAGAAACAAACTTTAGAGGAAAAGAAAGAGCTGCAGACGCCTTTGTGTAAGCCACGAATGTCCCCATGGCTGCAGGCAAATATATTTGCATGGCAGCCGGAGCTCCGAGGCCAACTGTGACCAGCAGGACCTCAGACTGGCAGGTGAGACAGGTGGCAGCCCTGTCCCACTGGTCTCCCTGGTGGCCTAGGGCCCCTCACCTGTTCTTTCTGAATAGCATTTTGACACAGCCCGCAGCACCCACAAAGAGGGCCTCTTAGCCTGGATCAAGGTGTGGCTGTTTGGTGGCTGTTCACACCTCACCCTCCTTGCAGACTTCTGCCTTGTTAACCCACAGCGTCCACCCACCTAGCCAAGTAAGCCCTGGTTAAAGACAATGCCACTGGGGCCTGGGGATTTAGCTCAGCGGCATAAGCACCTGCCTTGCAAGCAGGCGCTCATGAGTTCAATCCCTGGTACCGATTTTTAAAAAAAAGACAATGCTACTGAAATGTTTGGTTGCTAAGCACTCTCAGTCTCTCTTGCTTTCCAACTTTCTGAATGTCTCCAGAATTTAAGAGCTCGTATTTCCTATTTCCCACTCCAGTACCTCATTGTCATCCTCCCCTGTGTTACTCACTGATTCGCATGAG